AAGGCGCATGACTGAGGTTTTGCACAGGTTGTCGACAATTCACTGACCCCACTTGCCTGTTAAGGTCTTGCCTGCCCCCTGTTTGCAGATGCCTCCTCTGCCTTCACGGCGGACCAATGCAAAAGATGTTACATGGCTGGGTTCCAGGCTCCCGGCTGTTTGTGGAACTCACATGTTGGATCCACGGCGTACTGTTTGTCGCAGTCGCTGCTTGTCGCTGTGGAAGCACTGAAGCAGTCGCAGTCGCCGGTCTGTCGCCGGTCGGTCAGACCGGAGAGGTCAGACCGGAGAAGTCCGTCTCTTGGGTGAAGGCGACTCTAGGACTGGACTTTGGACGATGGGTTGAGCTGGACCCACTCAGAACATGTCTCGAATCTTCAAGCCAAGGGCAGTTGAAGCGATGATTTCGATGAAAGACGTGATGTGTTGGCCTGCCAGCTAGCTAGCAAGCTTCAAGCAGCCTTGTTCTCCAAGAGTCCGTAATCTTTGACACAACTCTTTGACACAACTCTTTTTGCCCAGTATGAACCAGTGAAATCCTTTCTGCCCGTGACACAACGCCAAAAGGATAAAATTCACAACCATGGGCACATGGCACAGAGCCCAGCTCTTCCACCAGCAACTGGGGGGAAAATGTTGCTTCGAAGAGAGACCAGCACGGCGCTCTTCACCGCCACTCGACCAACCACGAAGGACCACCGGACCGCGCTTCGAAGGCCCAGCTCGCGGCGCTAGTTGCCGCAAGCTAGTTGCCACGTCCGCCAAGTTTCACGCGCGCAACAGTCGATCCAGAAGTGAAGTGATGTGGCTGATGTGTTTTTGATGATTTGGCACCAACAAAAACACCACCAGGACCTTCAGTACGTGACCCTTTGATATCCCAGGATGAGGTCACCGAGGTGCACCTATAGGTCTGTACGTTCGGTCACAAACAGAGTTCTGTACGTTCGAGGTCACGTCCGAGTCCCTCGCTTTCGTCACGGAGCTCCAGAAGTCCCTGCAGGTCCGGTCGCGCCAGCAAGGCCGGTCAACACCCTGAAACATGGTGTCACCATGCGCCACCCCGAGTCACTCCGCGTCACCATTGGGCGTTTCTTAAAAGCACGGAAAAGCGCAGTGCGTGACTGACTGGAGAAATCGTAAACTCCAGGACCTGAAAATGACTGACCTCTGACTGGAGACTTTGTCAGTGACCTTTTACAAGCGACATCGCGATCTTGTTTTATATGCCATTTGTTCAACCTCCTTCGGTCTGGCCAGCGCTGTGTCATACTCCAATGGCGCTTGCCATTTTACAAGCGCCGTTCGAGCGATGAGCGCTGGCACCAAGGCCAAAGGGCGAGGGTCATATTATGCCGCTTGAACATTTCAGGAACAACTCAAACACATAGAACGCAAGCACCCAAAAAAAAAGAAAAGTGCAGTTTCATCCAAAGACAATGTTTTTTGAAGCAGCAGTAATTTTGTATATGTATGAAGGTGCAGGTATGATATGCTCACGTTGAAAATTACTTTCATGGTCCAAAAAGTGATCAAGGTTCAGAATAAGTGAGGTTTGCTTCATCATGTTCGTCCCATTTATGTTCCCAAGCTGTTGCCCAATCCCTCAGTGTGAACATGGTGCAACCCCATCGCAGCGGTCCTCTTTGCAGGTTTCAATCAGATTTGTCGGAAGACGTACTGAGTTGCGTCTCCTTAAAGATGTGGGTCTCCGTTGGTCGCTGGGTCCATTTCTCAAGATATCCGTCCGTTGCGTTGCGATGGTCGTTGGTCGATGATTTGACTTGGGTCGGTCAACTCTGCGAAAGCAGTGCAACAAAAACGACCATGTCGACATGGCCATCTTGATGCTTCTCCCCGCTGTCACATTGGAGACAGCTCTTCACTTGACAGCGTTTGGCATTGAGACAGCCGAGGGCCGGGTTTTTTCACGAAGGAAGGCGAGAAACTTCATAATTACCTTCAGTACAATTCACGGAGATTTCACAAATATATATATTGAACAAAACACACTCTTTCTTGCCCCAGAGCAGATGACTTATACCTATATACTTGTCTACCAGCTTCTTTAAAGTGACTTTTTTGGCGTTTCATCCAGCGACCTTTTACATGCAGTTCTAAGCGAGCTCAAACCCGGGGACAAACAAATTACTTTGACGAACGAGGTAGAACCATGTTTAATATAGTTAGGATTGCTCCTTTTGCACTGAAGGGCCTCCCAAGTTTGGAAACCATACCTATACCCGGTCACTGGGTAACCTGGAAATCCTGTTGTATCATGTTGTATACAGATGCGTTTTTGCCACTCTCCAAACGGACCAAAAGTTCTATCCGCTGTTTAAAGACTTAAGACATACTAAGAGCCTTCTTTTCGAATACGGCCGGACCGACACCCGTCGTCTGGACACCGGCGCGGGACTGGACGACGGACGAAGCGGAGCGGCGCAAGCCTAGCCTGAGGAATCCGTCAACGCCTCCAGCTCAGAGCGAGGGTTCCGACGATTCCTGGTTTGGCAGCGAAAATACCACCAACATCACCTACCCCACCTCTGAAGAGGTGGGGGTAACATCAACGACTGTCAGGCATCGATCTGAAGTGGCTGCCAGGCTTGCGTGAACGCTTTCTCGTTCGCCGGTTCCGCGGGGCGGACTCCCCCGGCCCGCGGGGGGTCTGGTTGAACGGAGGCGGCGTGATGCGGCAACACCTGATGGGTCCAGCTTCGCTTCTTCCGACTGCAGCACGATTGAGCAAGACGGTGAGAGAGACAGGTGTGAACGAGAGTGGGGCTGAAGGAAACGGAGACTTCGAACTCTTACAGATCAATGACCAGCTACTCCAAAGAGATGTCCAAACAAATGCTTTCTGGCAATAACCAGGTTTTTAGAAAGAAGGTCTTTCTGAGCGCTTTCAGAGCGCGATGATCAGTATGACGCTCGCGCCGCGGGAGGCGCCTCGCTCGCCAGACTCCGGTTCGATCGGGCGGGTGCTTTGGGTGATGGGGACCGAGTGGCCTGCCATGCATAGCCATAGCAAGAGAGGTAGCCAGTGACCGGGACCATAGGACCCGGAAGATCTGGGGTACCCTGGCCTGGGATAGTCGAACTAGGGTCATTCGATCTCTGTTGGTAGCTATTTGGGCTAGTGTTCGTTCTATTCACCATTTTGAACTCTTGCTTCGCCGCTGCAGATCGCTTGTCGGCAGATCTGGAAACACCGCGCAGATCTGCGACATTGAATACGCATGCTTTCAACAGGACGTTCACGTGGCTCGACGTTCACTGGCTGTATGCCGTTGGGGATGGCTCTCAGTCGCTGTGGCACTGCGCGACCGAAACCTGCTCGACCGGGTCGAGCTGTGAGTTTGTCGCCTCCCACGCGTGCAAAACCCTTTCAATTGGTGCGATGGTGGCAAGTGTGAATGTTTTTTGGGAGGGAGGATGGGAGTGATCCCAGCTGTTTAATAAGCTTGCTACTTCACTGGTGCTTCTTTCAAAGCCACATTTCCAGCTGCACACTGTGAGCGCAAAGAAATGGATGGTCAGCAGTTCAGACTACTGAGAACCCATTTGTTGGTGCCCAGCAGCATTCCAACCGAGGTTGAAGAACCCAGACTTATAAGGTCACTGGCTACCTCTCTTCATTGTCATACCCTAGGGCTCCAGTCGTACCTTCTTAGAAGGTGGGACTGGGGAGGGTTTAGAGGGTCCAGTCATACCTTCTGAGGAGGTACTTAGAGCCCTAGGGATGATATGCAGTGAAAGATCTATTGAACTCGCCCGACCGCTCCGCCAAGCTTGTTTCTGGACCACGCTGGACAGCTGTCCACCATCCAGGCCATGCTTGATTTGAATGTGGACCGCTTTCAATATCCTCCCTCCAAGCAAAAACAAGTCCAGCTTGCATTCACAGTGACCAAACTTTGGAGTCCTATACAAGTGACCCTTGAAACCCAGAGCGGGTGGTGCTGGACAGAACTGGTGAGTTCTGTCGACCCGTTGACTTTCGAACCGACAACGAAACACAACGAACAAACCTGTCCGACAGCGCGCAGCTGTCGGCAGTGACGCTGTAGAGGATGGAAAAAGGGTGGCATCTCATCTTTGCACATCACATCTGGTCACTTCTTAAGCCCTTGAGAGCGCCTTCTTTCCCCTGAAAGAGCCCAGTCTCAGTCGAAAAAGACCGTGTTTTGAGAACGACTCGTGGCAGGAGATCCTTTTGGGCCTTTTTTCCACGAAGCGTGGCCGGCTAGCTTTCAGCTAGCTTGATCTGGCCTCACAAGTTGTTGCTAAAGGGGGTAGTATATTCCCATATACAAGTCCAGTCTGAGCCAGTAACACTTGGTCGCTTGGTCTATTGACCTCCTTGAGCAGTGTATTTGCATAGTCAACTCCAGTAAAATGAGTACCTTGATGTAGACATATGTAGACACTTAAGATTCAAGATTGTGTCGAATGGAACTTGCTTCATGTCTTGGGCTAGGGATGAGACATCCTCGTTTGGCCCACAAAATGGCTGGATCTTCAGTCACCATGACTGGATGCTGCAGAAGAAGCGGAGGGCGCGCTCCGCGTCTTCGGTCAATCGTAGGTGTACACGGTGTACACGGTGTACACGGTCGTTGTGTATAGACTCTTGATGAAATTTCAATGCCCCAAGCTTTTCAGAGGTCAATCCATGTCTTTGTGGTTTTATTCATCATTCTACAAGTCGGTGGTTTGGGGCTGAAGAGGTACAGAAACCTCTCCCGCCGCTCGTTCTCAAGCCGCGGATCATCGAGTGAAAGCTTCTTGACCGCTTCGTGGGTTCGCAGGTTCCAACGTGGCCATTGGTTTGGCAAGCAAATGTGTTAGACTGCTTGACGTGTTTGACACCACACCCAGGTGTTGTTGGCTGGGAGCTTTGGAAGAGCTTGAGAAAAACAGCAGGTTGGACTCTAAATGTTGCGACCGCGTTTGCTTTGGCACCCTTTTCGACGAGCTCCCTGCATGATTGATTCATGAATCGGAATCACCGTGCTTGCATTCGAAACCAGGGAAAGTCAGCGGAAAGGACAAGCTTGGATCCCAAGGGACATCAAAAAGGACCAACATTAATTTTGAAGTTTGGTCTCATCCTCATCAGGTTCACTAAATCAAACCATCCCTGGTCCTGTCACTGCATGAAACTTATAGTGCCACACTTTGTCAATTCCCAAAACGAGCCCATTTGCCACCTTCGACGCCTCAATCTACTTGCCTTGATGTGCGATGCATGGCGCTCGCCGCGCTTCTCCTTCGACCAGGTATGTTCTTTCAACTTCCGACGTTGAAGAACCCGAACGTTCGACTATCCCATTTTTCCAGGCGCTCCCTGTACGGCGTATTTACATACAGACAGGGATGGTTTTAGGGGTCAATGTAGGTAAATACGCCAATCCCATGCAGTGTCTATAGGTACCCCAGGTGACTTCGTGGTGACAGGTCCGGAGACCGGGGAACGGTTTGCGTGGCGAGAGAACAACGGCTGAGAGGTCAACCGAGGTGCAGAGTGACTTCGATGGTGAACTTGGGGCGAAGTCTTGCAGGACCTGGGTGAACATGGAGCATGGAAAAGCTTGAGACCTGGGTTTGGGTCCGGGTGATCGAATTTTAGCGGATGTCTATAGTTGCTGACCAACCTGCTTTCCGACAAGAGCTTCGTTCCCCTTGGTCTTGGTGACCGTGTCACATTTAGACCAACCCTGCAAGCCACATCCAATAACAGGTGAATATGGTTCATTGGGAACATCACGCCTCACCATTCTTTACAGTCTCTAAGTGACCTTGTGCAGACCAAAAAAGGTGACGTCCTGGGATATCAAAGAGGTCACGTAAGGTCCTGGTATACGTCTCGCCAAAAGGGATGCTTTTCAATCCGACCTTCGGTCTATCAGAGCAGAAGCGGAGGCTTGAGGTCTCGCACGCCTCCTCGATCCGTTGAACACGCGTGCAGTGTCCTGCGGCCCTCTCAACAGAGGTTCAATGACCCGAACTAGACTATCCCAGTTGGGTACCCCAGGCCTTCCGGGTCCTATGGTCCCGGTCACTTAACCTCTCTTGGTCTTCGTCCTTGAAACGTTGCCGTGTCGCCCGGCGCAGGGGCGGCCTTTTGCCCCGGGTTGATTGGTTTGAGCCGCTGGGACGAAAACCAAGCGGGGCGGCATGGACCGCGGTCAATGGTCGTCTTCTCTGCTTAGCGAGTTGAAGGATCCTGAGCTTGAAGCTATCCCAGTTGGTACCGCACGGATGGGTTCTATAAAGTCAAGAACCTCAAGAACCTCTTATGACACTCCGGTTCACTTGGGCCCGTGCTCGACACCGAGTGAAGAACGGTCTCGAGTGACACGCTTCCCTCAGCTGGACGCTCCCCTCGTCGATGGGGGGCTGCGGACCCACTTGCAGGTCCCAACAAATGGCAGCATGGCATGCCTGAAGATACCCAGACACTCCATGGGACTGCCATCGTTCCGCCGCCCCAGAAAGACTTCCGTGACCAACCACCCCTGGCCGCTTCTCGGCGTAGGCAGGCCCAATGGAGTATCTGGAACGATGCGAAGGCTGGAAATGAAGGGGCCCGGTTTCGAGCCCTTTTTGGAGACGATCTCGGAGAGAAAAGCTCTGAAAAGCAGCGACGGGCGGGGTCAAGACTGAGAATGAGGTCGCCATGTCTCGCCATGTCTTCCAGAGGTTGAATGACCCTATATAGACTATCCCATAAATACCCCAGGTGACGGGTCCTATAAGGTCACTTAACCTGTCTTGGTTGGCAGTCGCCATGTGTTGACACCAGTTGCCTCGGCTGTTGACCGCTCCATGGTGCCCGCTGCTACACCGGTAATAACGCGCCAGTCATGTAGACAAGCCCGGCTGGCGCCAGCATACTTGCGTTTGGGCTCACTGTGCGGGGGGTGTAACCTTTGAGACCCTCTTCGTCGCCGGTGTTCTGGGCTCCCATCGGGGGAAAAGAGCCAGTCAGGTTGATAGCACCATCCTGAGAATTGGATGTTTGAGAGGAGTTTGACAGGTCTGAGGTCTTTGAAACTCCAGCCAGCGATTGATTGCATAGACCAGGCACTTTGCACTGGAACAACAGGTGAGGGTGAGAACACCTGCAAGTTGTGTACTGAAATTTGCATTGACTTAGCTGAACATAGTTGATCATAGTTGCTGCTGTGCAGGAACTATCCATATTCCAAGTTCTTTCATGTGTTTTTGTGAGCACGTTGGCCACGGTAGATTTTTGCCACTGGGATGTTTTTTGAAAGTCCATCACATATCTCTTATCTCTCGAACAAAAAACACTAAGATAGTATGTGGCCGAGACAACAAGAGCTGATCCAAAGCATTTTTGAGTTGATGCTTGTCCAAAGAAGCGCACCACAAAGCGGTATGATGCAGGTATGACGACTTGAGAGCAAGCTGCAGCACGAGAATCGAAGATAGAGAACACCAACCGGATCTTCACAAACCCAACTCGCGCCAGGATGGGCCATCAGGGCCTCCTGATCCTCTTAAACTCTCATCAAGGAGCCCAACATATTCCATGCAGAAATGCCCAGCTATGCCCAGCTTGAACACATCCCTTGAGCACCTCCGCCCGCCTTCCTCCAGCGACACGGGCCTCGTCGTGGGGATCGGTTGATGCTTCCTCCACCGGGCCTACTCGCCTGCAATCTGGGTGTCCGGACCTGGCTTAGTCCTAGGATCTCTCATAGGAATCCCTCGAAGGTCCCTATATGGCTGACCCCACTTCCAAAAAGCCACAGCTCCTTCGTGCGCAATGGCTTTCCTGCTTCTTCTCCATGAGAAAACGGCGGTTCGGACCAGTTGTGGCACTATGTTTTCTGTGCTGAGACCTGTTGCTTTTAGAGCTTCAACTTCAAAAGCAGAATCAAAAGCATGAGGCCAAAATGTTGAGTCGTTCTCCTGCTTTTACCAAATAAAGGGGGCATTTGTTTGTAGCCATTGTCAATTTACAACATCAATTTTCATCAATTTGCACATATTTTCCACATTAATTTCAGAAACTTTTTTTTTTGATGTGTGTGCTGTGGCACTCTGGACGGACTACAGAAGACAGAGTGGAAGTGTTTGGTTGGCGACGGTTTAGGGATGACCCTCTCAACGGGAAGACGGAACTGGAAGGCTGATGAGCCATTTTGGCGTTTTTGTGCGCTACGATCGGAGCGATCGGACGCTACGATCGGGACCCTACGATACTAGGGGACCCCTATCACAGCAACCGTCGATGTCCCTTCTGGGTTCGGTGGAAGATCAGTCAACTGGGTTCGGTGGAGGCCATTCCTACATAGTAGCAAGAAGCAACGAATAAGTAACTAGTACAGTAGCTATTTGCTACTAGTAGCGTTGCCCTTTGCTCCGTTCGTAGCTTCTTGTTACGAACGTATAGTAAGAATGCTCCGTTCGTAGCGATGCCAGGAGCCCCTAGTAGCGTCCTTGCTCCTAGTAGTAAGGCCAGGAGCTACGTTCGTAGCTTCTTGTTCCAAATCTGTTTATGGAGCGAACCGGTTCAGATGGATTTTGCAACGGTCCAACGGATGGGCCGACACCCACCACTCAATCTGATTCGTATGTGAAACGCGGGTCCGGCGGGCCGACACCCAGCCGCTCGGAGACCTAGACCCCAGCCGTTCCCCAACCCCCGGTGCGGACTCCAAAACTCGGTCAGGTGCAGCTCTGTCAGTTTGGCAGTCTTGGTCAGGATATGTGCATCTACTAGCTTCTTGTTTCTACTATAGCCTATAGCTTCTTGTTACTACTAGTAAGGCCCTTACCGCCCTTGCTCCTAGTAGCGATGCACATGTTCCTAGTAGCTTCTAATTAAACCAGTTTTAGTCAGGATATGTGCATCTCCGGCTTCATTCGGGGCTCAAGCAGCAAATCATCCGCTGTTTCCCAAGCTTCAGTGTGCGCCTTGACGCGTGACCCGCCATCCGTGGACTGTGAATCTTCATTCGCGCTCTCCAATTCCTGGTTTTGCGGATTCTGCTTTTCCCGAAGCTCGTTTTGGTGGAAATGAATCATTTTGATATATGTCTTGAGTGTTTGATGTTTCTTTTGAACCAGGTCCTGCGACCCGCCAAATATACATCTGGGACCCGCCCAAATGTTGGTCTTCACGACCTGGGTCCCAGTCTCAGGATTTCCTCGATGGACTTTCGCAGCGCCCTGCGCCTTGCCCTGCTGCTCCCGGCCCTGGCGTTTCGCCACGATCGGGAGGGCCAGGAGCGTATTTCCGGAGTCTCCGAGTTCGGGACGACGCCTCGCCGTGGCGTGTGCAAGTTCGCGGAGGATGGATCACCCTTCGATTGCATCTCGGTGGGTAAGGTCTTTCTGTCGCTCTTGGGGCCTCCATGGTCCTCCATGGTGTTGGTTTCATCGCAGTCGGGCCATAGGGCCACAAAATGTGTAGCGTAGATCGTGGGGATGGTTGGGATGCTTGGACTATGGGAAGCTACTTTTAGCCTTTGATTTTGGTCACCCTTATCAATGGCACGCGGAGTTTGATGATCACGGGTGTTTTCAGCGTGAAACCATCAAGCAGGCATCTATGAAGGAGAGAAGGGCTGGCTTGAAGACCGTGATATGGTGAAGAAGAAGGACATTAAGTGCTACCAGAAGCCAGGACTGGGGCCTGGTTCTTATGTGTTTGCGGTCTCACTGTGTTTTTAGTCCTTACATATAGGACTGAGGGATTACACTGCAGCTGCAAAGCGAGCGATGTGTAGACAGCCGATGAAACCTTCTTGTTTACTTACGCATGATTTTTGTGTTAACACATGGTGAGCACAATGTTGTTGTTTTCTTGCTTTACTTCAATTCCGGCTTCCTTCTGAATCTATGTCTATGTCCTTTCTATTTCACAGCCTGGATCCTCCAAAACGAGCGGCTTTTTGTTTCAGAAAGCCGGTTCATTGATGGGGGGCCAGCCAAAAAAAATCTTCGCTGAACTTGAAGATCTCAGCTCAGCCAGAGGATACCCAGATCAACTCTTCTGCTGCTTGAAGGGCTTTAGCTATCGGCGTTTTTGGGCACTCCAATCAGGCCGGAAAGTCAGCAAGGAGAATACCTGGATGTGCTGCAGCGGCAAATCCTCGAAGGCCATTGATCCGCCAATGTACTACTGCAAGTGACCTGATACGGACTCTGCCGTAGAGCGGCTGGTGATTTCAGCGGTCCGCTGTCCCTGTTCACCTGCAAGGTCGCAAAATGGAGAGTTGGCTGGGAGAAGGGATGAGTGTAGCACAACCTCTAAGGGTCCAGGGCCATT